AAATTCAGTCAAAAATATCGGCAGAGCTACAATTTAAATCCATACAAATGACGATATAGGATTTGTTCTATTCAATTAAAATAACTAATTATCTCTACAACACTTTTAATCACTTGAATAAATACACTGTTTGTTTTAGTATCAAACGATATAACAAAGCAAACCAGTATTCATAGATCTAGATTTATCCCTGGTTTATAATTACTAACAATGTATATTTACAGTCCTAGGATAACTGATACTGACTTGAAGATCTGAATTCCTATCACCTGATAGATTGTCTGTAATGTTTAGTTCTAGTAGATTTGTTGTATGACGTAATTATTAACCAATTCCATTGGTGAATTACCGCATCATTCGAAATGTGGTTGATTCTGTAAATCAAGATTTTTCACAAGAATTTTAAAAAATCTACCTAAAAGCTAGTCAACAATCGAAACAATATTATTATACACTTTAATGGTTTGTGAGGATATTTTCATGATGAATATAGTTTCATATTTCATTTATACTTTTCAAAGAAAACATTAAAAGCGAATGAGAATCATATAAATTTCTTGGCTATGTTGAAAACTTCTTATCAATGTTCCTACATTAATTCATTCTAGACTTCCATTCCTCTAAACACACAACACACAGTAGACACGTTTTTCATACTTACTAATCAAAATATTTTCAATTACATTGTACTAATAGAAGATTGGAATGAAGTCATTACAGTATTATTTTACGTGATGAATAACCAAATACTTTACGATTATAATTTTAGAATATTAAAGATTCCCATTGTGAAAATTAGAACAACATATGTAAGCGAACAATTGTTTTCAATTAGATCGTCATCAGGCTTTACTCTAATATACATGAATATTTATATGAAAATGTTAGACCAATCAAGGCTATTTGAGTCAATAATAATCACAATGAAATAGAATACGTTACCAAGCATAATAATAGTTAAAAGTACAAGTTGATAGTGGGAAGACAGGTGTACTGATAGTAGTAAGAATAGTAAATTATGATAACAAAAGTCTTATCAATAATTAAACATAAGAATTAAGAGGTCAAACGTGGGTGAATAGTCTGGAATAGTAATCACAAAACATTAAAATCATTACGTAATAAGAAGTATGTAAGTAAATAGATAGTGAAGAATACAAACGGAAAGAGGTAGAAAATTACAAACAAACAAAAAATGATAACCAAAATAAAAATTTTTACAAATAATAATAATTTTATAGAGTTGAGATCATGAGTCAATTGAAGCTAGACTACCATGGAAAACCTGGAAGCACTGGACGGCCGTTTCGTCCTATTATGGGACTCCTCAGCAGTGCGCGTCCACGAACCCACTCTCGCGGGATTCGAACCCAGGACCTACCAGTTTCGAGCCGAAGCCCTTAACCGATAGACCACTGAGCTGGCATCCAACGGTGTTAATTTCTAACTTCAACTGATTCACGAAATTGAGCAACCATTCACCAATGTCATCAGTGAGTTCCTATCTCACAACAGACCTGGTTGAACTCCACCGGTTACTGCTTCTCACTAGAACTCCAGGAAATACCTCAAGGAGTCAGTCACTAGTGAGCACCTGATTATTATCAGAAGGGGTTTTGTGGAGATTTTAGTAATTTTATAGAGTTGAGATCATGAGTCAATTGAAGCTAGACTACCATGGAAAACCTGGAAGCACTGGACGGCCGTTTCGTCCTATTATGGGACTCCTCAGCAGTGCGCGTCCACGAACCCACTCTCGCGGGATTCGAACCCAGGACCTACCAGTTTCGAGCCGAAGCCCTTAACCGATAGACCACTGAGCTGGCATCCAACGGTGTTAATTTCTAACTTCAACTGATTCACGAAATTGAGCAACCATTCACCAATGTCATCAGTGAGTTCCTATCTCACAACAGACCTGGTTGAACTCCACCGGTTACTGCTTCTCACTAGAACTCCAGGAAATACCTCAAGGAGTCAGTCACTAGTGAGCACCTGATTATTATCAGAAGGGGTTTTGTGGAGATTTTAGTAATTTTATAGAGTTGAGATCATGAGTCAATTGAAGCTAGACTACCATGGAAAACCTGGAAGCACTGGACGGCCGTTTCGTCCTATTATGGGACTCCTCAGCAGTGCGCGTCCACGAACCCACTCTCGCGGGATTCGAACCCAGGACCTACCAGTTTCGAGCCGAAGCCCTTAACCGATAGACCACTGAGCTGGCATCCAACGGTGTTAATTTCTAACTTCAACTGATTCACGAAATTGAGCAACCATTCACCAATGTCATCAGTGAGTTCCTATCTCACAACAGACCTGGTTGAACTCCACCGGTTACTGCTTCTCACTAGAACTCCAGGAAATACCTCAAGGAGTCAGTCACTAGTGAGCACCTGATTATTATCAGAAGGGGTTTTGTGGAGATTTTAGTAATTTTATAGAGTTGAGATCATGAGTCAATTGAAGCTAGACTACCATGGAAAACCTGGAAGCACCGGCCGGCAGTAACCGGTGGAGTTCAACCAGGTCTGTTGTGAGATAGGAACTCACTGATGACATTGGTGAATGGTTGCTCAATTTCGTGAATCAGTTGAAGTTAGAAATTAACACCGTTGGATGCCAGCTCAGTGGTCTATCGGTTAAGGGCTTCGGCTCGAAACTGGTAGGTCCTGGGTTCGAATCCCGCGAGAGTGGGTTCGTGGACGCGCACTGCTGAGGAGTCCCATAATAGGACGAAACGGCCGTCCAGTGCTTCCAGGTTTTCCATGGTAGTCTAGCTTCAATTGACTCATGATCTCAACTCTATAAAATTACTAAAATCTCCACAAAACCCCTTCTGATAATAATCAGGTGCTCACTAGTGACTGACTCCTTGAGGTATTTCCTGGAGTTCTAGTGAGAAGCAGTAACCGGTGGAGTTCAACCAGGTCTGTTGTGAGATAGGAACTCACTGATGACATTGGTGAATGGTTGCTCAATTTCGTGAATCAGTTGAAGTTAGAAATTAACACCGTTGGATGCCAGCTCAGTGGTCTATCGGTTAAGGGCTTCGGCTCGAAACTGGTAGGTCCTGGGTTCGAATCCCGCGAGAGTGGGTTCGTGGACGCGCACTGCTGAGGAGTCCCATAATAGGACGAAACGGCCGTCCAGTGCTTCCAGGTTTTCCATGGTAGTCTAGCTTCAATTGACTCATGATCTCAACTCTATAAAATTATTATTATTTGTAAAAATTTTTATTTTGGTTATCATTTTTTGTTTGTTTGTAATTTTCTACCTCTTTCCGTTTGTATTCTTCACTATCTATTTACTTACATACTTCTTATTACGTAATGATTTTAATGTTTTGTGATTACTATTCCAGACTATTCACCCACGTTTGACCTCTTAATTCTTATGTTTAATTATTGATAAGACTTTTGTTATCATAATTTACTATTCTTACTACTATCAGTACACCTGTCTTCCCACTATCAACTTGTACTTTTAACTATTATTATGCTTGGTAACGTATTCTATTTCATTGTGATTATTATTGACTCAAATAGCCTTGATTGGTCTAACATTTTCATATAAATATTCATGTATATTAGAGTAAAGCCTGATGACGATCTAATTGAAAACAATTGTTCGCTTACATATGTTGTTCTAATTTTCACAATGGGAATCTTTAATATTCTAAAATTATAATCGTAAAGTATTTGGTTATTCATCACGTAAAATAATACTGTAATGACTTCATTCCAATCTTCTATTAGTACAATGTAATTGAAAATATTTTGATTAGTAAGTATGAAAAACGTGTCTACTGTGTGTTGTGTGTTTAGAGGAATGGAAGTCTAGAATGAATTAATGTAGGAACATTGATAAGAAGTTTTCAACATAGCCAAGAAATTTATATGATTCTCATTCGCTTTTAATGTTTTCTTTGAAAAGTATAAATGAAATATGAAACTATATTCATCATGAAAATATCCTCACAAACCATTAAAGTGTATAATAATATTGTTTCGATTGTTGACTAGCTTTTAGGTAGATTTTTTAAAATTCTTGTGAAAAATCTTGATTTACAGAATCAACCACATTTCGAATGATGCGGTAATTCACCAATGGAATTGGTTAATAATTACGTCATACAACAAATCTACTAGAACTAAACATTACAGACAATCTATCAGGTGATAGGAATTCAGATCTTCAAGTCAGTATCAGTTATCCTAGGACTGTAAATATACATTGTTAGTAATTATAAACCAGGGATAAATCTAGATCTATGAATACTGGTTTGCTTTGTTATATCGTTTGATACTAAAACAAACAGTGTATTTATTCAAGTGATTAAAAGTGTTGTAGAGATAATTAGTTATTTTAATTGAATAGAACAAATCCTATATCGTCATTTGTATGGATTTAAATTGTAGCTCTGCCGATATTTTTGACTGAATTTTGATCAGTTCACATTGATAATATTTGTGTAATGTGTGCATTGCCTAGAAGCACCTCTAAACTCGTAAGTTATTTCAACTAGGTGAATCAGTTTATTTATTCCACCGTAGGTTCACTGGTTATTTAATTTCTATTTTTATCAGCTTTACATTTTCCACATACAGCGAGTTTCTCATTGAAAACCTAATCTTAACAATACAAAGTATTCATTTTAACTACAAATGACTCAAACAACAAATCTTCCTCAGATAATTTGTTGATTATGTTGGGGCGATCCTGAATATTTCTCGCAATAGACATGACAAGATCAGGGAAACATTAGGAAGCATTTTATCCAATCAGTGTTTGATTAGAAGTTTTGCTAGAAATATCACGAAAATGGAAAGTCACATGTAGAGGTTCTGATTGGCTGATTACTACTCTACTACTATGTTAAGTAGCATCCCATTAGATATTGATGTACAGTTTGAGAATCTATTTTCACAAACAAGTGACTTGTTCCCATCTCATCAGAGGACCTAGTCAGGTTTAAGACCACTTTAGTTGACAGCAGCCAACAATATAAGAATAGTAAAAGCACTACTAACCGCCTACTTACCAAGCAGCACCGAGACTGTTTAACTAACCTAAGAAAGGAGGAAACCTTGATTATAAGTAAACCTGATAAAGGAGGAGGCATAGTGCTGATGAATAAAAAGGACTACGTTGAAAAGATGGAAACAATGCTTAATGATCCCAGCAAATTTCAAAAAGTCACCAGTCATTCCGATATCAATAAAAAAGTGGAAAACCAGTTGACTAACTCTCTTAAGGATTTAAAGAATAAGGGAATAATTACAAAAGAGATTCTTGATTCTATCAAACCCTCTGGATCTTATACGCCACGACTGTATGGTTTACCCAAAGTTCATAAACCAGGTCTTCCACTACGCCCAGTCCTAGATATGTTCAATTCCCCTTATCACAAAATTGCAAAATGGCTAGTACGTATCTTAGAGCCCTTGCACAAATCAATTGTTAGTACGAGCGTAAAAGATGTATTCGACTTCACTTCCAAAGTGGAAAATATGAATGTTAGTATGAAAAATATGTTCTCACTAGATGTAGTATCCTTGTTTACTAACGTACCACTTATGGAGACTATTGAGTTCATATGCGAGCAAATAACTGAAAAGCAAATCAACATTGGCCTGCCGGAAGATTGTCTGAAAGAACTGCTTTTAAGATGTACACTGAATGTTCATTTCGTTTTCAACAATTCCTATTATAGACAAATAGACGGAATAGCCATGGGCTCACCTCTAGGCCCGATTCTTGCTGATCTCTTCTTAGCTAAGCTAGAAAATGGCCCACTTAAGGAGGCTATTAAGAAGCTCGATCTATACTGCCGCTACATCGACGATACATTCATAGTCGTGGATCAGAACACCAGTAAGGATGAACTACTTGAACAGTTCAACAGTGTACATCCAGCGATTAGCTTCACTGGTGAAGGCGAGTGTGACATGAAGCTGAATTTCCTTGACGTTACACTAAGCAGGCGAAGTGATGGCTCGTTAAGTAGAAGCGTGTATAGAAAAAGACCCTCTACCTGCCAATACACTCACTTCTATAGCTTTACACCTATCCAATATAAGAGAAACTTGGTTAAATGCCTCACTAGTAGAGCAAATAAGATCTGTTCTGTTGATACTTTAAGTCAGGAACTGGAATTTATCTATAACTCACTGACTGAGATCGGCTACCCTGCTGCGTTCATCAAAAAGTACATGTATGATACAAGGAAGAAATCAGAGATTTTAACTGTTCGTAAGAAGCCTCTATACATGAAATTACCATTCAACGGGGATGTAGCTAGTGAAACTCTGAAAGATAGGTTAACAAAAGTAATTAGTAGAACTTTCTACGCAGCCTATCTTGCATTGACTTTCTCGAGTCGACCAGTGATGTCTACTCAAACGAAGGATAAGTTACCTGAGTTGGCCTCCTCCATGTGCATTTATAAGTTCAGCTGCTCCTGTGGAGATAGCTATATCGGGCGTACTACTAGGCAACTTAACCAACGAATGAGTGAACATCTACCAGCATGGTTTGGAAAGGGCCAAATAAAAACAATACGCAGTTCTATCTTGGCACATCTAATTGATAGTGGTCATATTGTCGATAAATTGAAATCATTTCAAGTGATCTATCGTATACCTCCATCGTTTCCCAACGGAGTTCGCTCCCGTCTACTTCATATAGCAGAAGCCATAGGGATTCGTACATTCCATCCCAATTTATGTGTACAGAAGAAATTCGTAACCCCCCTATCCCTTCCATGGCCGGACATAACTTAATAATTGACATTATTATTATTTGTAAAAATTTTTATTTTGGTTATCATTTTTTGTTTGTTTGTAATTTTCTACCTCTTTCCGTTTGTATTCTTCACTATCTATTTACTTACATACTTCTTATTACGTAATGATTTTAATGTTTTGTGATTACTATTCCAGACTATTCACCCACGTTTGACCTCTTAATTCTTATGTTTAATTATTGATAAGACTTTTGTTATCATAATTTACTATTCTTACTACTATCAGTACACCTGTCTTCCCACTATCAACTTGTACTTTTAACTATTATTATGCTTGGTAACGTATTCTATTTCATTGTGATTATTATTGACTCAAATAGCCTTGATTGGTCTAACATTTTCATATAAATATTCATGTATATTAGAGTAAAGCCTGATGACGATCTAATTGAAAACAATTGTTCGCTTACATATGTTGTTCTGATTATAATTTTGATTAGTTTCAATGTTTAAGTTCATGATGACTGAAGTAATGAAATCGAACATATTTGAAACTAAACTATCTGGTAGAAATATCGATGAAGTAATAGTAATAATAATAATAACAATAATAATAGTAATCGTAATATATATTCTGTAATGATTACCGAATGCACACTACCTTAAGTTATGATCAGGTTATTTGAATATAGATGGACCAGTTAAAAGATATAAGAGCATATTGTCGATTGGTATAATTTGTAAATTGCTTTAAGTGAACATTTGTCACGATGATATTAATAATAATAAGTCATATGATTCAGTAAAAAAATGCATAATCATAAATCGTATCATTATTAGAGTACAACAAAATTGTTGGAGTATACACCTTGGTAATAAAGTAAAGTGAGCTTGATATGTATTCTCAGTAATAATAGTGTAGTTTCGCTGATGAACTGAGATATGATCTCTAGTGTAAACATTTCAAAGGTATTAACAGAAGTGAAAAAATTATCCATGCACTGAACAAACGCTGGTGAACTTGTTTTACCGACATATAGTACCAGGCAGTCTCAGGTTCCAGAAAATTTACCTATGAAGTAGTTCTTCTACTAAAAGTGGATTCAGGGTGAACATTACTCTTCGATATTGAGTAACGAGTGTTGGATTGTTTTGCTGGGTGTCAAAGATAATTTATATAATATCTAGAATGGAGAAAAATCATTCACCACTTAAGCTGGTGGCTCCATAAAGGACCAAGTCCTAGTTTGGTGAATCTACATTTGAAGTCTAACTTTCCATTACTCTCAATAATACGATGTATAAAATGAAGCTAGAAAAATTCCAATTTGTTTATCCTTAATATGAATACTACTAACAAGAAAAGCTTAGTGCTTTAAAAATTCTTAAACAATAGATAGAGTAAATATGTGAATCACTACTTCTTTCAAGTATACTTACATTACTGTTGTGGAAGCTATCATGAATGGAAGACATGTGAGATTTATTCAATTGGATCATAAATTGTCATCCCAATAGGCTGTCTATTGTCTGTGAGTTTTAACTATCGTACAATTTTTGGAAGTTGATTACCTTTAGATACCGGGGTCTTATAAAATCCTTCATAATTTGAGGACCAGGTATGTTATTAGGATGCTCAATTTTCACTGTTAGGGCCTTAAAATCTTTTAAGTGTTCGCTTTGAAACCAGATAGATTTCTTGGCTGGTTAAAATTCTTCAGGCGGACAAAAACCCCTGTATTTCAAGAAGGGATATTTTTATTTATGTCCCTGTGATTCATGTAGAAGACATAATATCGGAAGCAATAAGATCTATACCAATGTTAGAGGCATACAAGTTGCCAGAGGTTAGATCTAAATTTTTCATGGTTTATGTTATACTTTCAGGTTTCTGTGATAACTGAGGACTTTCATTAACAAGTGATACAGTCGTGATAGAAATAGATGCTGTTAGAAAATCTACAATAACTGTGGTAGTTTGTAAAGCATTGATGTTGTCTAAAGTGTTTGTTTTCTTAAATTTTGGTTGATTGTTTTCGTTGCAACTCTACAGGACGTCTTAAACTTAGTGGAAGCAACAATTAATCATACAAACATTTTTTACTCGGGTACTAATTGAGAATCAAATTGAAATAGAATGGGATAAAAGTACTTTCAGTGTATTTTATTCAGATGGACGAAATAACAGGAGATATACAGAAGATTGATTGCTTTCAATATCAAATACTTAACTAATTTCAGTGATATCTGATCTGGAATGTTATAGAAAATGATAGCATTTCTAGAGATCATAAATTCAGTTATTTCGCTGACAGATTCTACTTTAATAACATTCAAATCTGAGGAGTTTGGATTCTTATGTAGTGACAGCTTGAGGGGAGATGAACCTTTAGGTTGCTGTTTGACATTACCACGTGTTGAAGAGAATGTTGTGATTAACTCCAATTTTGAGAAAATACAGCCTACCCGTTTGTTTGGGTAATATGCACACATTGAATTATCGATGTTGTAATTGCTCGACAAAAATTGTTTATGTTTATTAGATAATAATAATAATAGTTTTCAAATAAGTGTCTCTCAAGTATTCTTTCATAATAAGTTGTTGTCTAGTTGGTGTCATTTTCTGATGAAAAAACCATAAATGAATATTATTTGATATATTACTGCTGAATACACTAAAAGTTTTGATATTGAGTGATTGAAGGTTTGCACAGTATGTGGAAGATGACACACCAGAAAGTATTAGTACATTTTTCAACTAAAAAATGCTTAATTGGTCAGTATTTGTATTCTGCAGATACGGTCATGATTTAAATGTGATTGTATAAGTTGGAGTGTGAAATATTCTAGTATCTGCAATTCTGCACGCCCGAACTTATTCAGCATAAGATTTTCAAACTCAGTTTGTGTTTAGCACGATGATCACTTCAAGATTTTTGGAATTCAGTGACAACGCATTCTAATTAACATATAGTTTGTGTGACACGTATTTAGTTACGATGATGGACATATATATATCAAGCTATTTTTTGACTGTTGTTGATGAAAGTTTACTTATTCGATAGTTCGTTTCCGAATTGTATGAAATACTTTCTTAAACATTTATAAATTTAACGTTTTATATGGTCGATAAAACGAAAACCTATCATTTTGTAATATAGTACAAAAAGTAACAAAACGATATCGATTATTTGAGATTGTTCGCATAGGAGTTTCATCGAGATTATCAACATTTTGAATTTTATATCTGAAAGTCCTAGATTCGATCTCGTTTGGCAGGATATATAGATGCTCACTGCTGATCCCCATTTAAAGCTGAAATAGTTGTCCAGTACTTCTCGGTTTCCAGTTATGGTTTAATTAAGACTATTTCGTAATGTAAACTATTGTTATTGAAATCACTACACTTTGAAGCTATCTGGAATTATTCACTATTGAACTATAATGAATTCTAAGTATCATTACGAAGGTTTGATTTGATAATTTCGAATTTATTTAGCATTGGGTAAATTGTTATAAGTAAATTAATGTATTTATAATATCCCAGTGACTAGAAAAATTAGATTTTCTGATGTTTCGTGACTCAGTGTAAGCCACCTCTTTAGAGGATAAATAGCTAAATTAAAATTGATCCAAGTTTAAATAGTACAAAGGAACAGTACAAGAATATTATCAATATTATTATTGTATTTTTCCTTTGTATTATTTAAAATTGGATTAATTTTGATTTGGTTATTTATCCTCTAAAGAAGTGGCTTACACTGAGTCACGAAACATCAGAAAATCTAATTTTTCTACTCACTGGGATATTACAAATATAATAATTTGTTTATATAATGAAATAGTTCAGATAGTATCTCAGTTAGCAGTGTACTCTAAAGATACCAAGTACGGTTCTGTACAAGCGTATGAACGCGCACTAGTACGTTTGTAACTAAACTCCTCCATTCAGCTGATAGCATCCCTTAGTGAAGTAACGCTCTTTAGAACTTAAGATTAAAAGAATGGTCAAGTGATTCGAATAGGCCAACATTTCAATTATTTAACAAATAAAAAAATGGAACAGTTAGTCATATCCTTATGAACAAGTGTTTGTTACTATCACTTAAAAAAAACTGTTACAGTTATAAAAAAATCATCCAAGTTAATTATCGGAATTATTCTCTCATTAATTTAAAATAGTGAAATGTTGTTTAAACTCATGATGTTGTACTGTAGTGTGGTCTACTTATATCCATATAAGTAGTATATGGTGATGGTCAGACATAGAAGGTATTTTGGCAGAAGATGGATAAGGAAAGAACTGAAATGAAGCGCAACCGGTACTAAAATGTATAAACAATGAACTGATATTTACAGAAGGAACAGTGAAGATTGAAACAATTGATTGTTAATTTGCAAATTAACTATTCATTGTATGGTTATCAGAATTTAGTAAGATAGTCTGTAATTTGTCCTCAGTCGTGTTTTGTTCACTACAGTACAACTACAGTATAAATCATTTTTAAATTGGTCAATCATTATTACGAGTAATGGCAATGGCTAATACCAAAAGAAGTTGGATTCTTGAAACATGATCAAAATAAGTTTTAACAAATACGTACAACATATATCTCTTATTATTTCCGCCACAATGTTTGTTATAACTATAGTGAATTAAGTAACGAACCCATGGTGATTATGTAAATACTTTTTAAAAAAAATTACTATTATTGTTACCATTGCCATTATTATTATTATTATTAGATATTATGTCTTCTTATTTCCTAAGGTCACGAAAACTACGTTATTGTCTATAAAAAAAGAGGTCGTTTAGAAGTTGTTTATTTACTATTTGTTTTATATTTAAAAATTAGTTGGAAATAGTATTACACTACAGAGAAAAACATCGACAATGTTTACTTCATAGAATTTTGAGTTTACCTTATTCATATTATGTAAACAATGTTAAAATTGGGATGGTTTAGAATGTAAAAGTTTACAAAAAAATATTACTGATAAAGTTTTGTAAAGGAATACTACTTATTTTTCCTTTTTATCACGAATTTGTCTTAGTTAGACAACTATTAAAAAACTAGAAAGCACTGGACCGCTATTTTATCCTATTGAGGGACTCTTCTGAAGTGGACGTTCACAACCTCATCGGGAAATCAAATCCTGGAGTTTTAGGTATCACATAGATTGCTTAACCCCTAGACCACTGATTTACCATCCAATAGTTTAAACGTCTAATTAGTCAGTTTTCAATATTAACGACACTGACATTTGAATTGGAATGAAAGTTATTAAATCTTTTAGATATAACAGATTGCTCAATAAATAGTGATGATTTTGGGAGTTCGAATTTTAATCAGTATAAAATAAATCTTTATAAATATGATTGTATT